ATCCCATTCAGGAGGGGGTCCCGCCGTCGTCCTCTCCGCTTCATCCCGGGCTGCATAACCCCATTGCGCCATAGGTGTAGCAAGAGGATCGATCTGGTGCGTGCCACCCATACTATGCAGGTGAACTAACTCTGGTCGGTTCGCTCCTGGCGTAGGTGGCCTTGGTGGTGCATTGGCTTGCCGCCACTGCAAAAGCTGGATGTAGTCGGCGTTCGCCGGTTCTGCCATAGCTCCCGTGCGGTTCCATGGGTCCTGTCGAGCCCATGGATCATAGCCCTCCGAGCTGTTGGAACCAGGTGGTTCTGTCCTCATCCCGGCCGCAGTGGCCGGAGCAGCGGCAGCAGGTGGATGCCGTTCATCTTCTTCAGGAGGTAGTCCAGGCGCAAGGCCTGGAGGCGGCATCATGTTCGACGGCGCGGCGTTCATCGTCCCTGGATCGAACCTCGGCTCCGCTACCACTGCACAAGGCAGTGGCAGCGTGAACCGGAGCTCAAAGGACCCTTTTGGACATGATGCACTCGTGCGCTTGAGCCAAAGTCGTAGCCGATGATCTTTTGACCAAAGCGCATGCTAACCGGAACTTTGCAAGTATAGTATGGTATGGTATAGTATAGTATAGTGTAAGTATAGTATAGTATAATATATGATGGGTCTTACCAGGCCGCACCAAGTCCCACCAGGTCCCTTCCATGTTGTTCGTTTGAAATCTCCTTGAACCCGCAAAATCTGCAGCTAGCTTTAGCAGGCCACATCCTGCCTGCTTCATTTGCACGGCAGGTCTGTTGCGCGGCGACAGCACTGAGGGGCGGACGCCACGTGCAAATGGCTGCGAAAGAGCATGTTTTTTTGGTGCTTGGCACGTCCAGAACAAACACCACGAGGAAGAAGCCCAAGCTTTCCAAATATGGCTCCACACAAACTAAGACGGATCAATAATGTCTACCGCTTCTGGCACCTCTACTTTCCGTCGTTGAAATCATACTTGTTTGACCGCCCCCGCCTACAGGTTCAAAAGAAGAAAGTCATCAAAATAGCATGCCCCCAAACTCTCCCAGCTGATTCTCCCGAGCACTTGCCCATCAGCAATATAGAGTTGGACACTGCCCCTCCAACTGGCCCTAAGAACAACAATGAATTACGTTGGTCTTTGTTTTTCGCCGGTAGAAATGGAATTTTAAAACGAATAGAAGAAGGGCGTCCTGATCATTGTAGTCGCGCTCCTCGAGGTTGTACCTCATGCCACGCGAATGCTCTTCTCTTCCGTACGTGCGATCACGAAGCGGCCTTTGGCACTCCCAAACACGCTACAAACTCGTTCAGGGTCTTAGAATGTCTTAGAGGCTCCACCTACAAAGAATCCTCTACACGCAAAGGAAGGAGAATCCCCAATCTTCTATACGAACGACCAGCCCGTTTGGTGCCCAAGGTTTGTTTGGTCGTTCAAGGATCCCTCAAAGTGAAATCTTACATGAAACCGAAACCTGTGGTGGCACAGCAATCTGTGTGAACCCACAACAAAGCCTGGGGCCTTTTGGAAATCAAAATGTTCCACACTTTTTGTGGCCAAACCTGGTAGTCGCCACCCGCCACCACCCGGGTCACTGATAGTCGCGAGTTGGTACTGCGGCTTGCTTAAACTTGCCTGCCAGCCGAGGCTCCAGGTCTGTGAGCGAGGACCTCCCAATGCCCCAGAGGTCTGGGCTGACAAATGAAAAAGGACTCGATTGTTTTCTCTTCCACCCGTTCCATTCTTCCCTCGCTACCTCTGCAAAAGGCGCCCCACATCTCACTACCCATCTGCCCCGCATCCAAATTGACAGCACCTTTGCCGATTCCTTTGCCCTTCCCCTTGGGCGTGTAGTAGGCCATCACCTGGCAGATCTTCATTCTCCTCGTGCCCTGGTGCTCCCCCGCCCACGCGTCCACGTCCAGGTCCACGTCATTTTGGTCCGAGTTATGACCGTAGATGCCGTAGAAGCAGCCAAAACATTGGGAGGGGAGTTGGGAGGATTCCATGGGGTCCACTACTTTGGGGGATCTGGGGATAAACATTGGGTGTTCATCACGCTCATCTCTTCGAAAATGCAACACGCGCCGACTCTTTCACACTGTGGAAAGTGCTCAAAATCAAAAGGCCGACTTTCCTCTCCAAATTTTCCCAATCGCACGCTTTGATTGCACTTTGGAGAGGATCTACACATCGAAACATCAAATTCAATCAGGAGGCTTCTCCGTCAAACAAATGAAACGCCATGTTCACATCACGTTTCCCGATAGGTCCAAACATGATCTTGACCCAAAAACGTGTAGACACGAGAACTTACTAGCATTTCATGAAAGAACAGCTAAAGCATTGAACCCAATGTGTGCGCCCCTTGGGACCCACGTCCTGGATCCTGTCAGAAAATATAAAACATTCGACTGTCTTGAAACGAGATGCTCGACTTTCACAGACGCGAACAAGAAAGACTATGACAAAGCAACCCATTTGGATACAAAGCGGTTTTGGAACGATCCCCAGGTCACTGTTTTTGACCTGGCGAAGCCCTACCTTGGCCAATTTGCCTCATGCATGGGCACGACACTGGGCACAATCATTGGTGGGGATGCCTGCCTCAGGCGTGGAACTAGCCTGGGCATGCGCTTGAAGCTGGGCTCATGCTCATGCAGCTGTGCGGCATGCATCAGCAGCCACGGAATGCCCATGGCCGCCGTGATAACCTTCCTGGTTGCCAGCGCTTGGGCATCTGGGCTGGCCGGGGAAGGGAGGAGGCTCATTTTGGAAAACACAACTCGGCTCATTTTGGAAAAGCAAAAACCACCGCATTCCAAATTGAGACCAACCGCCCGCGTTCCAAATTGAGACCAATTGCGCGTTCCAAAACGAGGCCGTTCCCGCCCGAGAAGGTCTGCATGCCCCAGATCTGAGCGCTGAGCTTCTTCTATCTGCACTTGCTTCTCTTGTGGAAACACATGATGCTCGGCAATCTTTTCCACCTCGTTCATCACTGAAATCGCAGCAGAGTAGCTGGTCCACATCTTCTGGGCTTGCAACTCTACTTGGCAGGTTCGAAAGAACCTTGTGCGACCCCTTCTCCTGGCACCTCAACAATTCTTGCTTGCCAGAGAGCAGCAATTGCGCTGCAAACTTCACCACGTTACCTTGGGTCTCAAAAATGTGATCCCACAATCTGTTGGCTGCCTCCGTGGGCAGCACGTGCGCAAAGAGATACATCATCCAGCTTTGAACCATCATCGGCATGCAATCGATCTCTGCCTCACCAAACCTCATTGTCAAGCGAGGGCTCGCGCTCCGAACCTCATGGGGGAGCTCCTGGGCCAACTTGTGGGTCGCAAAATAGAGCTTCTCGCCATCAGGCTGGAAGAGATCTTCATCCGCCTGGCGGATCACAAAGTCAAACACCTTCAACGCTGCATCCTCCTCCTGCAGCTCTCGAAAGCAAATGGCCATGACATGGTTCCTTCCTTGCATGTAAGTCAATGGTGTTTCCTTCTGTAGCCATTGGATCATTAAATCCGTCACCTTCTGGTGACACTGCACGACTTCACGGCCAATCAACATGTTGGCAAAGGTCCTTGCCATGTCCATGTGCAACAATATGGCTACACCTTAAGCTCAAGAGATGCATTTCAAGGGTCGGATTTCACCAGCATGTCACCAGAGTGTGTTTCGAATTTCCGCCTAGTTTGTTGCTAAAACTATTATTAGGTGATTGTATCACCATAATTGTTTTATCACCTACCAGTACATGACTGATCCAAGGCTATTTGGACTGCACACAAATGCATCACATTGCACGGGACCAACCTTCAGGAACTCTTGGCCATGGCTCGCGTACAAACCAAAAAAAGTACAAAACTCCTGATAACTCCTGTTCGGTGGGGACCTTAGCCGCAGTGTATGATCTGTTTTCTGATCTATTGAGTGTGATGGAATGCATCTGCGGCTACTGAATTGTCCTTCTAAGGATGGACAAAAGAGGCAAAAATGTGTGTGTACAAGTAAATATGTCTTCATCACTGTCACTATATGGAATTCTCAAAAATATGAATTCTAGCACAGATGATCTTTTTGGCATTCTCGAGCACTGGAGCTCCAACCTGGAGCACTCAAGAGTGCTCAAAACCGCAGCTGCGAGTCGACTCACCCAAGCAAGCGGAAGAAACGACGTGGGCTGGTTCGGGTTCACCAGGTTCAAAAATGAAGGGCGAAGGAAGGCCATGCCCCCAACAACCACTTGGACACGGAACCGCACCCAGCTAGGTGTCGTCCAAAAGAGGCAGAATCGTTCTCTTTAGAAACTCCACGGCGAATCGGTGTGGAAGGAAAAGAATGCCAAGGAGAAATCAAGTCAGAAACACGTTCAGACAGAACAAAGCTTTAAAAGTTTGCCCATGCAATTGGGTGGATTCTGCAGCACTGCAGCAAGATTGCTGTCCTCGGACGGGAACGAGGATGCGAGTCATGACACTGCTTTCCACTGCCGAAAGAAGCTTCCTACACGATCCTTTTTGCCTCGCAGTGACCTCACGCGTCCGAAAGAAGCTCCTGAAAGCAGCTGAGTTGGCATCGCAGCATCTGTGGAGCAAAATGCCAGTGATTCCTGAAAATCTCACAGCCTCTTGCCTTCTCAACTGGACAAACTACGTGCCTTCACGGGCATCCCGTATCATGTCCCATTAGATTGTTCGCACAACAAACTTCTCAAATGGAAAATGCATTTTTGGTCGGCACAGTTCCGCACTGCTTCGCATGCCCCCTTTTCCCCCTCCCTCCCTGCTCTCCATGAAGTGCTTCCGGCTGGAGCAACCACGGATGGAGCCTGAAACCAACGAGTAAAGCTGTGTCCGAACTGTTGAGATTGAAACGACGCTTCCTAGTTCTTCTTGATGTTTCAAGAAATCCTCTTTCAAGATGCAGGAGTTCTTCATCCAATCTGAGAACGTTCTTTTACCCGGCCATCTCTGCCATTTCCTACCTACCCCCCGCCCCGCAACAGACAAAAATGCACCTTCCGCGCCTTGGGCTCTTTCTGGTTGTATAGCCAAACGCCCACCAGGCATGTGCCGACACCAACGGCTTGTTCAAATGTCAGGCTGTTCCTCGAACAGCGCGGATGATGCAAAAGCCCAACAACAACCATCCAATTTAAGAGAAAATGAAAAAACTAACATGGGACTGAGACTCCCTTATCTTGAAGACCTTTTTTGTAGGGGTGTCCTAAATGCCCAAATGTGTCCCGACATCCACATCCCTGTCAATTCTCCAACTTTTGCGTGTGTTTGCGTAAACGCACAGTTCTCTGGAGAAACTCTCGCCATTCTTCAGAACAAGTGGATCATCGAGCACCCCAGCCGCCCATCGAGCGATTTCGTGGGCATTCCCGCAATGCTTTGGCATGAGATTGGGCAGGAGACCAGAAAAGAATGTGTAGAAATGGTACCATCAATGCCTCACTGGAACATGATTGTTAAATCGCTTTGATCCTCTCAAAAGGATTGACAAACAAGATTAAAACCGCCAACCAAATGCTCGTGTAGCACCATCTGTAACCTCAAAAAGTACTGCCAGCATCTGCCAGCATGCTCCTTACCCTGGGACCATGCATGCAGCGCTGGGACTGCACAAGCAGGCATGGCATGCCCCAGCTGCATCCACACAGCTGCGAGGTTAAATGGTCAGTGCTGCGAAGGTATAGCTCTTCGACATTCTTCAACTTCCCTGGCTTCAACAAACCATGCTCGAATCTGCCCCAAACTAGGGCCCAAAATCTACAATCACTCTGGCGTAGAGCTGGAAGTGGGAACTCCCTGACCAGGAAGTCCTTCTTCCCTCCGCCCACACGGTGTGCCCAACCGGCCAAACTGGTGCTGTCTGGCCACCCTGGCCACCCCCGTGTCCATTGCTGGTCCGGTCCTGAAGATGGCCACAGACACAGCGATGGACAAACAGCTCTTCACGTTGCCGAGGACCTGTAACGTGACCTCATGGCACAAAAGGGACGGAAGGAAGATCATTGGATACTCGATGATACTCGCAACTGGTCTATACTCACTGCAAGAATCATGGAAGTGAAAAACAGCCCCGATTTCGAAGGACACATTCTCCGAAGACCGAGCAGGTGATGTTCGCTCACTCCACTTCCATGAGTGCAGGAATGCTGAGTTGAACATCACTTCATGAGTCTGTCCGCGTGACCCCGGGTTGGTTGACTCCCCCACACCCCCAAACCAGTTGGAAGCAAAAGTGTATTTGCACATTTGGTCCCAAAAGTGTTGGATGGACTAGAGGCCCCAAAGTGACTGGAAGTCCGGTGCAAAGCTTGCTAAGCTCGTTGAAGACCCAGATACCATGGCCAATGCCCATTCGGCCCTTTCAATCCAACGAGGTCCCGGGTCGGCCCAGATCGCAGGGATCGCAAGCCCAGATACGGGGCTCGTGTAGGAGGTGACGAGAAAGTTGGCAATGTTCAGTAGACATGCATTCAGACCTGCAAAAGAATGGAAGAATTGGAACATGGATGTCTTTTCCCACCCCTTTCCTTCCTGGCAGAGGAGAAATCTGCTAGTGATTGAGAGCACCTGTTCGGCAACTATCTTGGTTGGTCCCGTTGGTCTATCAAGCGGATGACTTCCTAAAGAAAAACAGGAAAAAACATATGAGAAGGGGATTGCTGGCATTGCTGGCAACACTAACTGTACGAACGATCATCCTCCAATTCTGCGACCAACACTTCTCTACCCAAACCGCTCGTCGTTCTGCCTGAGAGCACCAGCAAATACATCACAGTGCCAATGCCCGTCACGGACGTGCCCACCCTTAGTTGCCCCCCCCACCAACATCGAAGCCTCGAGCGGCGAGAACCTCGCGCGGCTCTGAAGAAAAGGCTCCGAACGGGTCTCCTAAGGGGCTCCCTAACGTCCTGGCGGCGTGCGAGGTGTTTGTTCGGTGCTCCAAGGATCTCCGCAGTCCAGGAGGCCAGAAGTAGCACGATGGGCTCCGTGCCCTGGCGATGAAGGAGAGCGATGAAGGAGGGCAGGTTTTTTGGGGGTTGTTTTTGGAAGTTGAAACCAAGAAGGTGAACCCCCTATCGTCTCCCAAGAGAGTTTTTTGGCAATGTGAGACCACCATGAGACCCCAGTCTTGGATTGGTCCCGGCCACTTTGCTTCCGCCATTGCAGCGGCCTCCATCAAGAGCATGAGCAGAAAGAGCCAAATGGCAGAGATCGGCGCCATATAATACCTGAAGAGGCGCGCTCTCCCAGCCACCACACACGCGACGAAAACTCTGTCTCTTGATGATGACCAAAAAGAAAGCAGTCTTGCTGCAAAGCAAAAGGAAAACTATGCTAGTTGATTGCAAAGCAAAAAGAGCGAGAGAGAGAGAGAGAGAGAGAGCGGGGGCAAGAGCGACAGCGAGAGCGAGAGCCAGAGCGAGAGCGCGAACAAGAACGAGCAGGGGGGACAAACAAAAATACAAACAGACAGACAGACAGATCAACAGACAGACCGACAGACAGACAGACAGACCGACGCACCGACCGACACACCCACCCACCAACCAACCAACCAAACCAACCAAACAAACCAAACCAACCAAACAAACCAAACCAACCAAACCAACCAGCAAACCAACCAAACCAAAAAGACCAACCAACCAACCAACCCACCCACCCACCAACCCACCAACCAACCCCAACCAACCAACCAACCCCAACCAACCCCACCAACCCCAACCAACCCCACCAACCCCAACCAACCCCACCAACCCCAACCAACCCCA